TGATCTCTCACTAACTTGGGTCAGCTGATTCTGAGGATTTCCTCATCGTGGTTGTGACTCCTTTGTTTATATTATCGCTTCTCCCTCATCTTGATTGTATTCCAGGAGCTTGGCCCATTGGTTAGGTGTAAATTTCTGTATCTGCTTCCATCTGTTTCTGCAAGAGGGTTCTAGCTTCTCTGGGGTTGTAGATTTTAGGTTGGGTTTTCATTTTTATGTAATATTGCTGTAACAATAAATTTTAAAGATATGCAAATAGACTCTTGAATCATTTTTAGAAAAACCTAGGGGGAAAAAAAAGAAAGAAAGCCAGGTGTTGGTGGCATTGCACACCTTTAATCCCAGCACTCAGGAGGCAGAGGCAGGTGGATCTCTGTGAGTTCGAGGCCAGCCTGGTCTACAGAGAGAATTCCAGGACTGCCAGAGCAACACAGAGAAACCCTGTCTCAAAAAACAAAAAAAGAAAAAAGAAAAGCCTAGAAAATTCTTAAGTCTCTGAGAACAACAAATAAGTTAAAACCTCCTGAGAGGTACAGCTTTGATCTCTAGCTTCTCTTGCTTTGAAAACACCTGTTAAACAGTTCAGCTCCTGTGAGTGAAAAGTTGTGGGGAGTCAGTGAGCAAGCAACCCCCCCTGCAGAATTTTCCTTGATTAAAATATCATGGAGCTGGCAGCACATTTGAGTCATTAGTGATCAAATGCTCATCCCCAAGAACTTGCAAGACTCCTTGTGTTTTTATTTTATGAAATTAAGCTGTGATACAGCTTTGGGAACGGAGAAGTTCTTGTATCTTAGTAAGCTGGCAGCTTTCCTTTGCTGCCATGACAACCATCTTCTCAAAATAGCTTGTTCCTGGGTCTCTTCAAGTCCTATCAAGGGAAGGTTTTTATGCCTGTTGGTTTAGCATTGTAGATTTGTCTGTGAGCACTGATGTCATGTTTGTATTTATAAGATGATTCTAAAGGCGTTTGTAAGAATTTGAGCTACATTTCCTCCCTAACTAAATCATAATTTTGTATGTTTTTAAGTATCTTATAGGATTTTTTTTGTTTATGTTTAAATTACTTTTCATCTTAACTGTGTGGGATGTACTAAGAGTAAATGTCACTTCTTTGAGAATATTACTAGATGATTGTAAGCCACAGGCCATGCAGTCCAGGAACAGAATGACTGTCCACATCTGTGATGATGGACAGGGTTTTCCGAGGTTCGTTCACTATGTCCACTTCTGGGGTGATTTGATTGCATTTTCTGCCTTAAAGCATGGTGGGAATATGATACAAAGCTCCATCTTTGATTATTTAAGTGCACTTGATGGATCAGACACTGGAAACTGGTGTTGAAGTTTGAGAAGGAGAGGGAGAAAATACAGGCACAAGGATTATATATGTGGACTGGTATTTCCATTTTGTTTCTGAGTTTTACAACAAAGGTTACTTTTACTGTTTTAAAAACATGTGACAACCATGGGGTATCCATTAATTCATCAAAATGAATTGCTGAGTAGCTTGATAATTCTGGTTTTTAAATCGTGAGTTTTTAAAAAGAATGTATAATTCCATCTTTGTGTTTGTTGTTATATATCTTAATTGATCTGTGTTCTTTCTTTCTAAATGCTGGGGGTTTTATATTAATCTTAGCTTCTTTGGTTGGGCAGAATTTTAAGTGTGAATTGTAATTAAGATTTTAAACGATTTGTTTATGTGTATGTATATGCATGCACACAGTGTGTATGCTTGTGAAGAGAACTGGAGCTACAGATGGTTTGAACTCCTGTGCAGGTTCTGGGAACCAAGCCCTGGTCTTCTGCAAGAGCAGCAAGTACTTTTAACAGCTGAGCCCAACTTAATAATTTTTAAAGGAAAAAATAGGGTACTTTGAAAATAGAAAGCTAAAATTTATCATTGGTTTAGTTATTAGTAGCTTAATAATATGCCTTCTTAGTTAAGTAAATAAAATTACTTTCAAGAGAATTACCAGTTAAGTTTAAATGGATCTGACTGTTGAATTGTGTTATCTTAGCTGGGACTTGAGGGTTGGGAGAAGTGTGAGAAGCCAGTCTATTAGGTGTGGTGAGCAGTAACCTAGTGAAGTCAGAAGGTGTGAAGAGAGGTAGGCAGACGTCTGAAAACATGTGCACCACTTGTTACAGTGCCTTTTTAAATAGTCAGAGTGTAAGAGTGGGGCTATTAAGGAACTAATTTTTAAGTAAATTAACATATTGATAAATATTCGTATTATGCCTCAGCCTAATCTGGTGAGCCAGTGATAGAATCGGTACCATGTTATTTGTAATGTTAAATAATAACAGGTTGGTACAGCACTTGCTTACCATGTACAAGACCCTGGGTTCAGTCCTCAGCACCAAAACAGAAAATAAAACTAAACCCCCACAAGCTTCTGGATTCCAGGTGACTGGTTGTATTACTATTGAAGAGGAGATGACGCCAGTATCTATTAGTACCTACTCTTGTGATAAATGACTCTTCTAAGTTGTTTCTAATCAGAAGAATAAGGTCTTCTCTGACGGGACAGAATCCCTCTTTGCAAGTAGTACCTGACAATGAAGTTCTTGCTGGGACGTATTTCTACAACATCTGATAAGCTGGCAGCTGTCCTTAAATGCAGTGACAACCATCTTTCATATTAAATGGCTTGTTCCTTGGTCCCTTCGGGTGCATTATGGAAAAGCCTTGATACTGGTGAATTTAGGGCTAAAGATTTTTGTCTGAAAGCACCAATGTCATGTCTGTCCAGCAGCTGTGACAAGGTGATTATAAAAGGATTTTTTTTAAAAAAAGAATTTAAGATACATTCTTCCCCTTTTTTAAATAAGTTATGTTTAGTGTTTCAAGTATCTTAAATAGGATTTTGTTATTGTTGTTTAGATTTAAATAGGTTTTAGTGTTAACTATATGGATGTACTAAGAATAAGTCTGGGGCTGGAGAGATGAGTCAGTGGTTAAAAGTACTTGTTGCTCTTGCAAAGGACTCCAGTTTGATTCTCAGCACTCACATGATGGCTTACAGCTATCCGTAACTCCAGATCCTCGGGATTTGACACTCTCTTCTAGCTTCTGCAGGCACCAGGTACACAGGTGGTACGCATACATAGATTCAGGCAAAACATAAATAAATCTTAAAAACAACAACAAATCCACAGGCCATGCAGCCCAAGAGACAGTGAATACTCTACTCTAGACCTATAGGCAGGCTATAGGAGTTGAGATTGGATGGGTCCCTGTCTCTCATGTGATTGGGAGGATAAATTGAATACAGTAATACATTGGCGCTCTGTCTTTTTCTGGCATCCGAGGAATACTGTTCTTTTCTCTCCTGCAATTGATCTGCAGTGAATTCTCCTGAGTTTGATGCTGCTTTAAGAGCAACAACTTTTGAGGAAGAAGATATTTTAGATGTTTGTGTCTTAGTTACAAACTCCATCCCTGGCCTTGTGTGGTAGATCACTGCCATGTGTACATTGTATGAGATGTTCTGGGTCTGTTTTTGATGCGTAGAAAGCATAGTGAGTTTCATACTTTGGCTTGAGTTCCTTTCCCAGGTCTCTTTACAAAAATGCAGATATTCCAGAATTTACTATCTGAAGCCCTTGTGTTCATTTTCTTTGGTTGGGTTGTGTTTTTAGAACTCTTATGTAGCCAGGGTGGCCTCGAGCTTTATAATCTTCCTGCCTCTAATTCCCAAGTGCCAGGATCACAGGTGTACCCACCCACACTCAGCTGGTGCCAAGTGTTTTGAGTCAGGGGCTCACTACCTGCATCAGGGTCTCAGCTGAAAGGATGATACTGTTCTTTGCCTTCTTTCTCCCCTGTACCTGCTGCAGCTTTGTGTCTCAAGGGTAGATGATTGGGGTGTGCTATTTCCAGACACTACTGTGAGCACACATGCATAAACACATTTCTGTGGTTGTTGCCCTGCTTATAGGACTTAAATGCTTAAAAAATAAAATTCTGGTGCTAAAGGTTTTCACTTAGGATTTCTGTAGAAGGATTCCAAGATGTTTGGGGACTTCTAAAAGTCTACTCTGGTGATTCCAGTATGCATGGTTCAGTGGTTTAAATGTATGTACATGTTAATGGGTATAACACTTCTCTCTAGATTAGAATTAGCAATGATTCCAGTAATAGGGATCTAGAGTAGTGTCAGCTCAAACATTAATTTTTGTAAATATCTAGACATAGACAGCCCGGGGCTGTCATGACAGTTTGTTCCATGAAGTCCGAAGCTGTCCACCTCAAGTCTTTTGTTTTCACTAAACCAAAGTCAAGCTCCTACCTTCTAGCTCCAAGGCAGAAATTAGACTCTTGTTCTCATGTTGGTCCATGCACAGGCTATGTATAACTTGAAGATGGGTTTGTTCCCTCTGAAAGGCCCTTGTAGTCCCATAAAGCACTACTTATGCTGACCAGAACTGAGTCATGAGGCCACACCCAGCTTCAGGGAAGATGTAGACACAGGTGTTCTTCTGGGTGGTTGCATGCCTTGCTACAAGCCATGAGCTCTTGTATATGGAAGCCAAGAAAGCCCAATAGCAGCAGGCACAGCACCCTGTGCTGTATCTTCTATGGAAGCTGTGGGAATCTGCCCCTCTGTCCTCCATAAAGAACAGGAGTGTGCAAAGTCAGGTCTCCTTATGCTGCTCTGTTGGCCATAAGTTTCCAGGCAGAGCCAAAGCCTCAGGCATCATGTTAGCTGGAGAGGCACTGGAGATTTAATAAGGACTCTTAAAAGATTCTGGAACATTGTAGGTGGCCACTGCCACTTCAAAAAATCAGAAAGGTATAGTGTGGCCAGTGGTATTCAGGTGAATGTGATTCTTTGACTCTACTTTGTTTTGGCTAGCACACTAGGAATTGTTTACTTCCTTTCACTAAGGAACTTCCTGTTTAGTGCACAAAGAGGACCTGCTAGGCTATCATATTTCAAATTACACACTTTGGTTGTACATGTCTTTGATCCGTATTTGTTTCTTTGCAGTGGATGAAGGCCGCAGTAAGGACCCTGACCGAGTACGGGTACTTTACAGGCGATGTGCCCTGCCTTACGGTGTTTATAAGAAGAACCACCAAGAAGACCCAAGGGAGGAGGTCGCTGTGCTGGAGTATGCAGACCTTGTAGGGCAGAAGTGCTCCGAGAGGATGCTGCTGTTCAGAAACTGAATGCCTGCACCACAGCCCAGCACCAGCCTGGGCACACCTGTCACAGTCCTGCCGTACCGGCTCCTGCAGCCACTCATTAAGTACATTCTTAGAGCTTTTAAAACATATTTTGTGGAATTGTCTTTATGAGAATCTTGTGGTTAATATAAAGATTTTAAAATATACTATGATCTAGCCCCTTAATTGGGACTTGTCCTTTTAGATTTTGCTTCTGGAACAAGGTGTGCTAAATGTCTCCAGTGAATATTTTGGGCAGGAAAGTAAAGAAGTGAATATAAGTAATTTCCTCACATTACTATTTTTGTCTTGGAGAAATTGTAACACAGAGATGGTTTGCTTAGACCAGTGGTTCTCAATCAGTGGGTTGCGACTCCTACAAGGACTGTATGTCAGATATTTACATTATGATTCGTAACAGTAGCAAAATTACATTATGAAGTAGCAACAAAATAATTTTATGGTTGAGTGTCACCACATCATGAAGAACTGTATTAAAGGGTAGCAGAATTAGGAAGGTTGAGAACCATGGACTTAGAGACCCATGCAAGATGTTAGCTCATGCTGGGAAATGTAGGAGTGGTCAAAGGTGAAGAAGAGCACGTTCTAGCACCGGGAAATATGTCTTCCCCACAAACCAAAACTCTGTTTGATATTAAAGTTGCCAGTGTTAACAGTGTGTCATTAATAAACAACCTGAAAAGGAAGTGCAAAGATCAGGTGTTCACATTGGATGTATGTCCAGGATGGTCCTGCTTATGTCTGTTGTCTTGGCATAATTGTTTTCCCTGTTGCTAGTGTTCCTTTGTGCCCCCAGAGGATGATAAAATATGCTGTGACCTTAGTGGTGTTTGTACTATTTCTACAATCTAAGAATCAACATTTTAAAGAAACATAGTAACTCCTGCTTGATCTGAGGTTTATCCAAAGAAAATAGGTACCTACTTTCCATTTCCTGGAACTCAGGACACTTTTCTGTGGTTAGTGATAGAAGTGGTTAGTACTTAACTAGTCCTGTAGCTGTGCACAAGCCATAGTGGAGCTAATGGGGCCTATAGTCTCTGCATTCCTTTTCTGATTCTCTGTGTGTCAGAGAATAGGCGCTGCCATTGGTTCTTCAACCTGGAGGCTAGCCACTCTTTCACGCTTGTGCTGCTGCTGGGCCTTCTTCCTGTTCAACAAATCCCTGCTGTCAAGGTGACAGGCAGCCAGCTGCTTAAAGAGGCACATCAGACATGGCAAGGCGAGGCTCCCCTCAAGTGTGTTGGAAGCTGGATGAACATATTAGCTTTGTTTGTACTTATTCTCAGCTGGTCCCTTCTGCTGCTACCTTTTTGACTACCTAATCTTTCAGCCCCATTTTTCTTTCTTCTATTGATTGATACTCTTTTTGTTTTTTGTTGTTGTTGGTGGTGGGGGTGGTTATTTTTTTTTTTTTTTTTTAGACAGGGTTTCTCTGTATAGCTTTGGAGCCTATCTTGGCACTCACTCTAGAGACCAGGCTGGCCTCAAACTCACAGAGATCCGCCTGCCTCTGCCTCCCGAGTGCTGGGATTAAAGGCGTGCGCCACCAACGCCCAGCATTGATTGATATTCTTAAAGCCATATTATAATACTTTGCAGTTTGAATCCCAATACTCATTTTAAACTTTTACCCCAAATACACTGAACTTCAATAAAACATTGAATAGTAATTTTCAGCCAGTTAGAATAAAAGGACATTAAAAGATTTAAAAAGTTACAACATCCATGTAAACTCACTATAGCCTGTGAGTGGTGGTGGGGGCAGGGTGATCTGCTGCTGAAGACATGTTCTTTGCTACCATGTACAGAGTCGGAAGAAAGCCATTTTCTGATTGCCAAGACCCTACATTCTTCTGGGATTGTGACCTATGAAATAGTCTCCTGAGGACGTTTAAGAGTGCCCGCTTGGAGCTGCCATACAGTGAGGATAGTGTTACTTTATTTCTTTTTTATGAAAAGTATTCCCATAATAAGCAACTAAAATGCTAAAAATTAAAAGTCATCTGAAATCCTCCCAAGCTAGAGAAGGAGCAGTATGTAAACCCTTATAGCGCTAGTCTGCCCTAAATAAAATCACACACTCCTTGCTGTTCAGTTGCCTCAGTGGCAACTTGGAATATATCTGAGATTGAAGATTGTAGAAAATGTGATTGGTTATCTTAGTATTAAGTAGAGTGGGGTCAGTATACATGCCCTTGGCAGTGGGTAGCCAGGCACACCATATCCCATTTTTCTTTGTGGGTGGTATATCCATGGTACTGAAAGGTGGTAATAAAATTTCAGCCCAGTATCTTACCCAGCTCTGAGTTCCTCTTGCAGAGTTTAGTGGGAAATGACCCTGTTTTTGCACTGATGAGCCTACCCTAGGGTGACTTCAGTGAAGCTTCAGAGCAACTTGGACATGAAAATTCTTCTGCTCAGTTGCTATGTTCACATCTCTCTGTCTCTCTGTCTGTCTCTCTCTGTCTGTCTGTCTCTGTCTGTCTGTCTCTGTCTGTCTGTCTCTGTCTGTCTGTCTCTCTGTCTCTCTGTCTCTCTCTCTCTCTTCCCTTATTCCCCTCCACACACTTTTTTTTTAATAGTATGAAATCTTAGGGGTCTGTATATTGTCAACAATGTATCCTTGGGTGGGACTGAGGAGATAGTTCAGTTCAGTGTTTACCTGGCAAAGTTGGAAGATCTGAGGGCAATTCTCTAGCACCCATGTAAAAATGCTGGGTCTGGTTTTGTGTGTTTGTGTGTGCGTGCGTGCGTGCGTGCATGCATGCGTGCGTGCGTGCGTGCGTTTTGAAATCCCAGCACTGGGGAGTCAGAAGAGCATCCCTGGGGGCCACTGGCCAGCAGCCTAGCCACTGAGAGACCCCATTTAAAAGGAGGTTGGCTGCACTCCTGAGGATAACATCCAGTGTTGTCCTCAGGCCTCCATTCGTGAGGTTTTAAAAGGTTCATGCTTATGTGTTGAACTCTTGAGTGTACACCGTAGCTATCACAGGGCAGTCAAGGCAAGTATTCCAACTTTGCATTTTGCAAGTCTATCTGAGATACCTGATTCCTTGTCAGTGGCTTTTATCCAAATAAAGACACATGGAGCTTTTCAGAGACTGTTTCTACCCTCTCCAGGCAGAAAGCTATGCATGTCCCATGGCCTTGCTTTAGTCCCCTTCAGAGTTCAGGTAGATTCACATCTCCCTCCATGTCTGACAGCACAGCCATCGTTTTGATTCTTAGTGTACCTTCTTTTTTATTTATTTTCATTTCTTATTTTTTTTGTTTTTGGAGACAGCGTTTCTCTGTATTGTTTTGGAGGCTGTCCTGGAACTCTGTAGACCAGGCTGGCCTTGAACTCAAAGAGATCCACCTGCCTCTGCCTCCTGAGTGCTGGGATTAAAGACGTGCGCCACCAATGCCCGGCCAAGTGAACCTTCTTTATTTAAATTATTTTCAGTTCTCTTCAGACTTTCGTTATTTTCATTACAGATAATCTGAGCACTTTTTATATTCTAAGATAGAGGCTATATTATCAGATGAATATATTTGCTCAATTGAATTATTTAGATAAAAGAAATTTATTGTTTATGTTTTCTTTCAAGCAGTCTATCCTATATTTATCCATTTGCAAATGCCAGTTTTGTGTGGATTCTTAGCATATCAAAATTATTATGTAAAAGAACCTTTCCAGCTTTCTGAACAGCAAATATTTTGGTTTATAAATATTGTATTGTTTCAGTATGAATAAAGGTGAGAGAATATGAACACTTATACCCAAAATGATTCTATTGTGGCTGACTTAAAAGAAAAGGAAATGAAGTGGGAACTTGATGTGTTTGAATTACAAGTTATTCAAATATGTGTTCCTTTCCTAAGGAAACCAGTGATATAGGACAAAATAAGTATGATTGCATTCGATATTTTTGCTCTTCTAAAAAAGTCCAAAATGAAAAATAAAGCTGTTTTTATCTGCAGTGGTTCTTGTCATTCATTTCTTAAAAATATATAGGCCCAGCACCATCTATGCCTGTAATACTAGCACTCAGGAGGAGATGGAGGCAGGAAGATCATTCGTGGTCATCTACAACTATATAGCAAGTTTGAGGTCATCCTGAGATAAATGAGACCCTGTCTCAAAATACCTACCCACTCACCCCACAAACATGTATATTCTTGAATACATTATACCTGTAATAAATATGTAGAAAATGTTGGCTATATGAATTATAATATGTAATCGTCAATAACCAACTGCAGACCATTTGATTATGTCAAAGTATGGGGTCACTTCTCTGGAGAATGAAATAAATCTCAATTTAAGCAAAATGTGTAGAATTTCACATAGTAAATTAGGATAGGATGAACTTTTGTTTTCCGAGACAGGGTTTCTGTGTGGAGCCCTGGCTGTCCTAGAACTCTCTCTATAGACCAGGTTGGCCTCAAAGCTCACAGAGATCCACCTGCTTCTGCCTTTTGACGGCTGAGATTAAAGGCATGTGTCACCACCGACAAGCTTCTGTGAATATTTTAAAAGAGAATGGTCTTAATGATTGCATAGTATTCCAGTGTGTACCTATGTTTGGAGAAGAGAGTTTTGTTTTTAAAATGTAAAATAACTAGCATTTCATATGCATTATTCAAACAAGATTTACAATTACAGAAGGAACATTCTTTATCTGTGTAGTCCTGGGGTTTGCCCCTATACATGCCAGGCAAGCATTCTATCCTTGAGCTCCACAAAGAGGAAGGCCACCCCTAGCCCTTTTATGAGGTTATCAACATGTAATTAGTGTCAGCATTGTAGTCCCTTCTCATTGTACCAAATCACCTAAGTGAAACAAAAGGTATCTTACCTTGCTTCTGATGAAACACCATGACCAAAAAAACAAGTTGGGGAGGAAAGAGGAAAGGTTTTTTTTTTTTTTTCTGTTTTTTGAGAGGGTTTCTCTGTGGCTTTGGAGGCTGTCCTGGAACTAGCTCTTGTAGACCAGGCTGGTCTCGAACTTACAGAGATCCGCCTGCCTCTGCCTCCGCCTCCTGAGTGCTGGGATTAAAGGCGTGCGCCACCAATACCCGGCGAAAGGGTTTTTTTGGCTTATACTTTAGCATTGTTGTTCATCGCTGAAGAAGGTCAGGACAGGAGCTCAAACAGGGCAGGATACCAGAGTCAGGAGCTGATGAAGAGGCCATGAAGGAGTGCTTACTGGCTTGCTTCCCATGGCTTGTTCACCCCACTTTTCTTTTTATAGAGTCCAGGACCAGTAGCCCAGGGATGGCACCACCCACCATGGGCTGGGCCCTCCCCCATTGATTACTTAAATGAGAAAAATGCCTTACAGCTGGATCTCATGGCGGCATTTCCTCAACTGAGGCTCCTTCCTCTGATGACTCTAGCTTGTGTCAAGTAGACACACAAAACTAGTCAGTATAACTGACCCCTTGTCAGCTTGACACACAATCACATCCCTATTTAGCCATAACCCCTAACTTTCGTTTGTTTGTTTTTGGTTTTTTTGTTTTTGTTTTTGTTTTTTGAGACAAGGTTTCTGTACTGGAACTAGCTCTTGTAGACCAGGCTGGCCTCAAACTCAGATATCCACCTGACTCTGCCTCCTGAGTGTTGTAATTAAATGTATGCGCCACCACTGCCCAGCTAGCCCTTCCTTTCTTATTCATCCCCAAGATCAACAGTCTTTACAAATTCAAACACATTAAAATTTCAGTCTCTTTAAAGTATCCAATCTCTTTTTAAAAGTTTGTCTTTCATCTGTGGGCTCCTTTAAAAATCAAATACCTTCTTCAAGAGGGAAGAACCAGGGTACTGTCATAATC